ATATAAAATCTTCCTTTTGCATTAAAGAAATGAAGTTTTGACGGAAGATTGGTTTATATTCGAGCAGATTCTTAAACAAGGAAAGCGAAAATTGATTGGAACTTCTATATTTAAAGCTATTTTTACTGAACCGCGAATTGTATTCAACAAAAGAGAGTTAACATTTCGCATTAACATATGTCCTGAGGAAGAAGAGTTGCAACAGACAGGTAGAAAATTGTATACTAACGCGTTCATTTTAGCAGAATAAACTATTCACAAAAGTTGTGCAATTTGATATTTTAAAGTTGTGCATTTTGATATTTTAAAGAGCATTTGCTAGCACTTTAGTGTGAAGGTTTTCTACGTAATAAACAATTTACTGATTTTTAGATGAATTAATCGTAACAAATCACTCGCAATTAAATTTAAACATTTTATTGCACATTAATGCTCCTTTTTATTTGATAAATAATGAAAAAAAGTTTACACATAAGAAAAAGATTATTTTGATGGATGGGATTACTATGACAATTCCAGTAAAATTTTTGCCAAATATAAATCCTGATAATCCTTATTCGCAAACTTATACTGGCATACTTTGTTTTGAGTATGACAAGCATCCTAATAAGGTATACTTAAAAATATTGCAAAATTAGTTCACGTAATATAAAAATTTTGCTTAACTAATTTTAGGACAAAATTCAATGTAAAGGTGCTGTGAATTTTCCGAATATTACATTACTTTGTAAAGATTTAATTATTAACTGTATTTCGGGTTCAACTACTAAAGAAACATTGAGGATGACTAATAATGGACCAATTCCTGTAACGTATAAATTTTTGTGGGCTGGAGAGAGTATTGAAATTCATCGTGAAACACATGATGTTGGTGTTGAGTTGCATCAAGATATAAATGTAAACACGAAAAAATAAATATTTTATTAATCATTATTATAAATTATTTTTGATAATTTTCAATAATTTAGAATAATTAACGGTATACACTTTTTAACAGAATTTCACTAATCATTCACAATTGCAAATTAACTCAAAAAATTACAAATTTAATACCCATTCCCATGAAATAAAAAAAAATTAGAAATTTACGAAACCGATAGTGAATCTTTAGATTTATCAACTTCAACATCATATGGTATGTATTATTAAATATTTCTTAATAAAAGGTAATTTAATATTACAATAATTTAAATATTCTTTTAATATAAGTTTACCATATATTATTATTAATTCTTAATAATATTATTTTATTAGTAAAAAAATTTCACTTAAAAAATTTTTATTTTTTATGTAAAAGTATATATCTTTTTAGAGCTACAAGATTCAAATTCCGAGAATTTATTATTAGAAACTCATTCAGAAATATTGGACAAAACGCTCGAAAAATTAAAAGATACTTTTATGCCAACAACAGAGTTACCTCAACAATATCTAGATGATCCAAAAATTCTTCCTTTAATAAAACCCAATTTCAAGCCACCTACGAAAGAGTTACTTGATGATGTTAGTATTTGCCTAACAAAATCTTAAATCAAATTAATTTTTATTATATGTATATCATAAATTTCGTGTTATTTATAAATTATACTGATCTATTGTTGCGATAAACTAATACATTAAGCATTTACACAGCATTTTTTTTAAAGAAAAGTGAATTTAAAAATAATATATTATTCTTTTCAGATAATATTGAGTGTATTTGATGTCATGTTTTTACTTTTTATAATAAAAAATGATTTTATATTTTTAAAACTAACTATACAGTTAATAATTTTTATTTAGATACTTGATATCATCCCACACGAAGGTATTCTTGTTCCATATTCTTCACGATATGTGCACTTCATTTTCCATGGTTTTGAACCAATGCAGGTCAAAGCTGTTGCACTTTGTGAGATTCTTCAGGGACCTACTGAAATAGTTAATGTATTTGCCAGTGCAGACATTGTTCGATATTCCGTTGACAAACAAATCATTGATTTGGGTCAACAAGTAAATTATCTCTTAATTTTAATAGTTTGAAAAAAATAGATACCAAATTAAAAAATAATATAATTTATTTGAATATTTAATATAATGATCCAATCTATTGTTTTACTTAAAATTAAATTAATATTCAATTTAGTTTAGTAATTCAACCTATATTATAGTTATTTGGTAAATTGTGTCGGTCAAGCTTTACTTTGGAAAATCATAGTACAATACTCCTGAATTACAAGATAAACAAGAGGAATTTAATATCTAAAGCAGGCTGTAGTGATTCTACAGTCAATGTATTAACAATTGAACCAAATAAAGGATCTATAAATCCTTTATCATTAATGAAAATTACGATCGAAATACAACCCATGTTATTTGGTGCTTTTGAAATAGAGTTTGAGTTGCAAGTATGTTACAATGCAATATGCTAATAAACAATTTTATTGTTTATCATTATATTTTATCATAAATTATAACTTTAAAAAATATTTTATATAAAAACGTAGATACAATTCAAATTTAAATTACAATATAATTTCTGCATTATAATTAATATTTAGGTGGCTAACGTAGATCCGCTAATAATTACTGTGAAAGGGGTTGCAAGTTTCCCGCAAATTTATCTCTGCGTTTCACGTGATATTTCTGAACAACACTATGTAGAACTAGGATATCAGGCGATTCAATTACTAACTTCGGACTATATCACAATGGTACTTTTGATTTGATACAAAATAGTAAAAAGTTTCTTTAATATCTCATATTACAGAAAAAACAAGAAATAAGAGCACAATGTGATACAGATAACAAATCAAAGCATCAAGTACCTGAATGGGATGAGAGGATTTTATTAAGTAAAATGAAGCATAATTAGATCTTCGATTATGATATAATGAATATATAATTGAAAAAAATTGATTTAAATAAAAATAATTTTCATTAATTATTTTTAAGATGACGGATGGGACTTAATTTCACATGAAGAAATAATACCTAGCATTATCGACATTGAAATGTCAATAGATAGACTTCTAGCCACTCAATTTATTGAAGAAAATTCTTCTGTTTTAATAAAACATCTTATTCCACACAAGAAGAATGCTGTTATACCTTTCCTTTTTACTCCTACATATATTATAGGTACATGTTTATGCAGAATATCGATTACTTTCTAATTAAATAATTGAATTCTAATTAAATAATAAGTTAATTACTTTAGGATGGACCAATTTGATGTTCAAATAATTACAAAACGTAATTGATAATATTTGTAAAATAATAGCGTAACAAATATTTTCAGACATGGGTTATATTGCAATTGATTTTAAAATGTGTTATTCAACAACGATTATTAATTATGGACCTTGGAATGTTAATATTGCAATAAAAAAGTTAGAAACAAAGCAACTAGAGAATGCTGGTATTCTTATACAATTTGAGAAGACAAGATTAACTGTCGGAAAAACTATGTCTCTGACTATTACGTGGCAACCCACAGCGGCTAAGTATATTAAAAGAAGCACAAAAGAACAACATACAATTTATTTAGAAGTAAACTTAATTTTACTATTTAAATAAAATTAACTGAACTTTAGTAAAAAATTTATGAATGTATATATACGTATTATGGTGATATAATTTATTACTACTTAATTATAAAAGTTAAACATATTTTATAAATGTAGTATATAAAACACTCAAATATTTAAATATTAATAATTTATATATATTTAAATATTAATAATTTATAACTTTATAATTTATATTAAATTATAAAGTTTTGGTTGTATAGGTATCTCATGGTTCTACTATTCCCATAATTATAAAAGGCATCATTACTTATCCATTCGTGACTGTTAACATGAAATTATTAGACTTTCAAAATGTCATCGTAGGAGAATGTTTAATGATGAACATTTTAATAAAAAACGAGTAATATATTTTTATTGAAATTTATGTATCAAAATACAAATAAATATTAAATATTTTTTAATTTTTAGAGGTTTCATTGATTGTTATTGGGAAGCAAAAATATCGACTATTCATAAAAAGCAAGAAAATTGCCCATTTTATCTGAATTATAAATCTAATTTTCTTTTGCCCGGTTGTTCAGAGATCATTAATGTCTATTTCAAACCGCATAAAACGGTATAATTCCTTTTTCTATATGCTGTTACATATACTTATATAATCAAATAATTATCGATTATTTAGTGTCGCGTAAAAGCGAGTCTAAATATTGTTGTTAAAACGGGACTCGAAACGCAAGTGATAACGTTGCTTGGTCGTGGAGTTGAACATAAACTACAAATACGCGACTTCGACATTAATTTTTCACCTACAATACTTTTTACCGAAGTACGGGAGAAAGTGTTCACAATCGAAAATACTTGTAACTACCCTGTAGAATTTTTCTGGCATCATCTGGACAGGTAATCAATATTTTATAATTAATTAATTAATAGAAATCAATCAGATTAGACGGAATAAAACAACGGAAGACATAAAAACAATTTTGCGTCTTTGTGAAAATTGGCCTAAAAAAACATGGCTATTTTCTCATTTTGCAATTAGCTTGAAAGCAAAAGTGATAGGTGAAATGATGCGGAATGTACTTTACTGAATAAACCGACGCGTCACAGTCTTTTTCTAGAGGAGGAACGAATTGCCGAAGCACTGACTCGTTACTACGGAGTTAAAGAAATCCTATTACCACCTCGAAAACTCGAAGAGAGAATACCGTCGTCTTTAATGGAATTCTATAATAGCCTCATAAGCGAAATGGCATACGCTTTGTCGGCGGAAGCAATCAAGGGAAGGAGTGCCATCACGCTAAACGGTATGTATTAAAAGTACTTGAAAATAAGCCTCCTTTTCCGAGTTACAATCTTTATCATATTACGGAAAAACATTTTTCTAAATTAATAATTGCTGTTGTAGCTATTTGTATTTAAATAAGATTTTAATGCACAAATCATATAATATATACAACGTATAATTAATGTCTGAATAGATGACGACAAATCTTTAAACGTAGAACATAAAAATAGAATACGAAGAAGAAGAAAGTCGTCTAGTACGTCGAGATTATTTGTTCAACAATCTCCAACTCGGCGAAGATCGAAAATGGATCTACAGAAAGATTTTAACATTGATAAAGGGAAACGGAAGAAAACCGGTTATTCATCCTCTTCTACGGATACTACAAAAAGAGATTGCTCATCCATGTCAGTTCTTAGCGAACTCGACTTTCCTCGCGAACCTCCAATATTACCAACAAGCAATCCTGAAGAACTTCACAATCTTCTCTTATGTGAGTCACTTTACAATAAAAATTATTACAATGCAATTTTTATTGTTATTTCTTTTATGAAAGTATAGTTGTATTGTATCTCTGCTTTCATTTCTAAGGCTACATAGAGATTCTACATAAAGATCCCAGTTTTCATGAGAAAATGAAAGATCCTGTAAAGGACCTGTATAATAATCTTGAAACAAAGTCAACTGCGGAGTTTGATCCTTTGCAACCAGCCAAGAAAGTTTGCATTATTTTTCATGGCGCGCCGTTCACTGGTAATTTTACGTTTAATGTAAATATGTAAAGAAACTATTTATATTATTTATACTAATTTATATTATTCTAGAATATCAAGAAACCGCATGTAGAAGCGCTAAAGTATTGCAAGTGCCATTATTATGCATAGATAATGTAATTATCGAAGGCATCGCTCTTGGTGACAATTGGATTTCAATCAAGTTGCGGCAGATTGTCGACGACGCTTATCAGGAATATTCGCTAGCGTTCGAGAAACATAAGTAACTATAAAATTAAGAAAAATTCAGATATTTTTTAATAAATATTTTAGAAAACATTTTCTCTCAAAAAAAAGAGCTCAAAAAATCTTAATCAACAAAAACGGAACTTCGAGATTTTAGATTTATTTTTCATCTCAGAGACGCTTTGAAAACTAAACTATCGGCAGCAAAAAATACCGAAATCACGGAACATGATCATGACACAAAAAAAAAGTCTAAACAATCAAAATCACCAAAAATAACTAAACTCGATTCTGAAACGACGACAAAAATCGAAGAACATTCCGAAAGTGAGGCTTCATTACAGGAATCAATAATTCCATTTGAAATGGAATTTGCGAAGATTCCAAGAGAGCAAGACTTGAAATTTTTAGATCCTATAAGCCTCTACGAATGTAAAATCCAGACAATTTTACTAATACAAAGAATTTTTCAACATTACACGACAATTGAATCAAAAATCAATGAAAAAAATCAAGACACCTTCCTCGGGATTGAAATTGATTTATTAAGCAAAATTCTTAGAGAAAGGTAATATTATTTAGCATACATGTACAAATATTTAAATAATTTAAATTAGTTTAAATTTAGTTACTGTTTATTACTTAATTTCTGTTTATTTTTCATTATAAATATTTTTATATTAAAAATAATTTAATTAATATTATAAATAATTTAAGATATCAAATATAATCTTGAATTATTTAAATTAAATTGGATTTAAGACTTATATATTCTTTTTGTTTGTTATTTTTAACAAACAGATTGTCATCATCAGAATTTACAAGCGGCTTTGTACTGCAGACTTTAAATAATATTTTTTCAAAAGCTGCATTACCACGCTGCTCAAACTACTTGATATAATTGGATATGTAGAATATTCATTGTTTGTAACATTTATGAATTCAATGGATATTTATACTCGAAAAATGAAGAAATTGCAAGATTTAAAAAGTAAATTATACTATTTACTAATAGTAATTATTATAGTATATTGAATTAGATATACTATATTGTAAGAAAATTAAATTTTAACATTAACTGTGTGTGTGTGTGTGTGTGTGTGTGTGTGTGTGTCTGTATGTATGTAGACAAAGAAAACTAGCTGATGAAGTTGCTAAAGAAAATTCAGGAAATTGATGAGATGTCATTATCAGAATATGAGCTACTTACAGAAGATGATAAAGAATTTTATTTGAAAGCTACTTTACCAATAAAGAAACAAGAAGCACTGCAAAGAAAAATGCAATTTATACAACAAATGACAGCATTGAAAAACAGAAACGTATTAACTTTAATTAATGTTTATTATACTTCAAAACGTATTAACTTTAAAAATATATATTCTACACATATATTTTCATTAAAAATTTATATAAAAATATATAATCTTTTATCCTTTCTTACCAATTTTATCAATAAAAATTTTGTAATTTTATTTTTATTTTGTTTTTTTTATGCAAATATAATTATATTCGTAATATTCAAGTTCTCCTTATTAATAATGTATATTTTATAGAAACTTTCTCAGCAAACATCTAATATACCAACCATTCAAAAAGTAAATAAAAGAATAAACAATGAACAAATTAATAATCGAGAAGAAAAATCCTTAACTTTTAAAACATCCACGAATAAAAAAGAAATTTTAGATCATAAAGAATTCGAAAGTAAGTCCTAAATAAAATGTAGAGTAAAACAAAATATTGAGCAAGTAATTTGTTGAAAAATAAAATTATAATTTTATTTGTAATTTTGTATATAATCTTAGGAATGTCAAAAGAATCGGAGTATGTAGCCAAGGCCATGAAGGATTATTATAGCGATCTTTCGGCTATAGAAAATATTATAAAAAATTGGGATCCTCTTAGAAAAGTAAATATCCACACATATCTAATTTTTCTTATAATATTTACAAATATTTATCATAATTTTTAAATTATTATTATCTTTAGAATGCATTAAAAAGTAAAAATTCGAAGACTGATGAACCAAAAGATAAAAGTTCTGATGTCAGTGAAGAGGTAACGTATAACATATTGGTTTCAATTAAGAAAATGTTTGTATAAAATTTTCAAGTAGAAAAATAACTCTATATTCTTTACATAATAGTATTTCATATACTCATCCTATCACTCATACTTTCATATATGCAAAACTGTATTTATGTGAGAATATAATAAACAATTTATTGCAAACTTTGATATTATACCCATATAATTATTTTAACAGACTTATACAAATGGATTTCATATTTGGTATATAAATGCCTCTGATCCATGGAATCGAGTAATGTATGACATAGTAGTAAATCAAATGAGCAAAAATAGCTTAGCTAAAAAAGCTCTTCGTAAGCAATGCATTTATCTTATTAAATAATTTTTTTAAATAAATCTTTATAGCTAAAAATATAACAAATATTAAATAATAATATTTAATACTAGCTGCTAAAATTGTACCAAAATTGGATCTTGAACCAAAGAAATATTATATTCTTAAACCACGAGGCATAAAAAACGAGATATTATGAGTAATGGCAAGTATATTATTAATACACTTTTATTTATTTCTTGTAAAAAAAATCATTAATCACAGTTTTATTATTAAATAGGAGTTTTTCAAATTGTATCATTATCTACACTGTCCAACTCTATAATTATGGAGACCAATGTTTTATACAGTAATGTAAATATTAATCAAGAAAATAACAAAAACGCAAAATATAAAAAGCATATCATTAGTGAAAATAAAGATTCATCAACAATATCATTAAATTCATCTACGATAGAAAGTAGAGATACTGCATCTGATATTGATATAATTTTTGAGAAAATATTAAAACCGCGATGGGTTTTACAACCTAATGAAATTCAAAGATTCAAGATTCGATATCAACCCGAAGAAATAGGAATTCACCGACAAACATATGCATTATCTATCATTGACGGTAATGATATCACTTATGATATTAATATTTATGGTATCGCAGATATTCCGAGATTGGATATGAATCATAATACTATTTTTTCGAAGGTAATAACACTTTAATACTTTATAATCTAACATTAAACAACTTTATAAATCATTTTATTTATATTCAAGATTTCTTCATTTCTACTTTTTACAAAAATTTTATAAAATTAATCAAATATCTTTCAGGTTGAAAAAACGAAAATCGATGATATAATTGATCCTACATATTTTTCTGATACTGGTATCTATGATTTTGGATCGTTATTGGTGTTTGGAATAGATAAAAGGTTTGATTTGACATGTTATATCATTAATATAATTTATTATAGCTGAATAATTTTTATAAATAGTGATCATCGTCGTGAAACGGAATTTAAGTTCTGTAATATTTCTCAAGTTGATGCAGAGGTATTTTTCTCTCTTCAAGAAAATAATCCGGATATTTTTATTATAAAACCAGAGAAACTTTTCATTCAGGTATAATATTTTTAAGATATGCAAGATATAATAATAAATTATTATTATTAATTGAATTAAAATTGATTAATTTAATTAAATTATTATTATTATTTAATAATAAATTATTATTTACTATATAATTTATAGGCTGGACAGTGTGAATTGTTAAAAATATCAGCAGGCCTTACAAAGCTTGGTTCATTTACCGATAAGTTATACATATGTATTACTAATAATCCCCATATTGATATAATCAAGGTAATTAGATAAAAAGAACAAATTAAGAAATTATGTAAAATATAATATATTATATAAAATAGATACAGATATTATTAAGAAAGATGTTTCAGCTTCAATGCAATGGCTCGAAATTGGATATAAAATTAAAGAACAAACAATTAGCTTTTGGTCAAGTGCTTTTGTATAGAAAAAGTTTGCTTACATGTCTCATCCAGAATAAATCTCCAATAGATATATTTTGGTATTTAGTTCTTGATAAACCGTTAGATCCTCAAATCTCGATTACACCGATAAAGGGAATTGTCAAAGCACAAAGTGATCAACAGATTGAATTCTGTTATCATGCCAGCAAAGTAAAAAGTCAAATTAAATCTATTTTAAATATACAATAAGAAATATGTTTGAGTAAAAGTGTCAGTATTTAAATTTTATTTGTTGAACTGTTTATGTGACTTTTTTTATATAGAAACAACTATTTGAATATTTTTAAATTAAATAGCACAAATATAGAATGTTTAAAAGATAGATTTTTGGCTTAGATCGGAATAATCGAGGGAAGTTTGATTTTCAAAGCTTTCTTTCACGAAGACGATGCGGAACCTATTTTTACGGAAACTCTTACTTTATCTGGCGAAACGTACGACGTTGCTGTTGACATCAATCACGCAAATCCAATTGACTTAAAATGCGTAAAAGTTGGTTTTCCCACGAGTGCAAATTTTTCAATAAGCAATCGGGGAAATCATGAAATTAAATATGTGTAAGTAAAAAAATATATACAACGAGCTTTTATATCACATCAAGATGCTATTATCAAAATTTTAACATCAGCATTTTCTTAAATTGCAAAATGTTCTTTTATTAATTCTTTTAATAGATTATAGATTTATAATATATTATTAATATATATATTATATTAATAAAATTAATAATTTACTTTTAAATTATTAGCGTACTTGTGGAAGAGCAAAACAAGTTAGCTAAATTTGTGTCAAATTTGTCAATAAAATTGAATGAGGATATAAAAATTAATCCTGTTTCGGATACTATTCAACCAAAAAAAGAAACTACTATACAAGTATATTTTTCTTTTTGCACATGTACTATAAGAAAATGAATTTAAATAATTTTATCTCTTATTTCTACCTTTTTAATGTATTGAAATAAATAATTTATAAAAAATAATACGAGCAAATGTAACATATCCTTATGTAATTAAATATATGTTAAGTTTTAATTTAATTAAAATAAAATGTTATTTAATTGTAGATAACTTTTATACCAAAAAATGAAATGACTCTAAAAGAATGCCCGATACTCCGATGTCACATTTTTGATGTAAATAAAGAAGCTGCTGTAATTGCTAAAGTTCCTCTCACAGTTTCTGTAGTTGCATATTACACTAGGTAAAATATTATTAAAAACTAATTAACATACCTCAAAATCAATATAAAAAAAATTTCTTACTATAATTTATCTTTTAAAATCCTAAAAATTAATTAAATATTATATTATTATTTAAAAATGTTTTTCCGTATTATTATTTAAAAATATTTCTTCTTCTTAATAAATTCTAATAAATGTTTGAAGTTATATTTATTATCTTTCAAGATTTCGCGTTTATCCCCATAAGATAAATGTTGCCTCACTTGCCATATGCACAAAAAAACAATGTATCTAAATGTGGAAAATATTGGACAATTTCCTCTTCATTACTCCATTAAAACAGCACCTATTAAACATGCATCTACTGGATATATGACAGAAATTAAAACAGGAAATGCAATCAAAAAGAATCTTGATAAATTGGCAGATTTGTCAACAGAAAAAACAGATAAATCACGAATCGAAAAATCAAACGATAGGTATATTTATAATAAAAATCCTGATTTACCGGACGGAATAAATTAATCTTATTATTTATCTTATTTAATTAATCTTATTATTAATCTTATTATTTAATTAAATTTAGTCTAATTTTAATTCTAAAAAATAACGTAATCATAAATGAAGCGATTATAAATAAAACAATTAAATTTATTTCAATTTAAAAATATTTAATTATTCTTTAGAGAAGCGCAAGAATTTTTTACTACGTTAAAAATTGGTCCTTTTACTGTAACAAAAACCGAAGGAAACCTTCAATCCGGCGAGATCGATACAGTGACAATCGAGTGCTATCCGGAATTCGTAGGCTTTCAAGACGAAGATATAATAATTCTCGTACCCGATAGCGTTCCCGAAGATAGAAATGGCAAATTAATAAAACTATCTGTTAATTCCTGCATACCCAGTATCGATCTTCATGATCTTGATGCAATATTCCAGGAAAATCATATTGTGGATCGCATTGAAAATTTTATTTGTCCAATAGTAATTAATTCCTTCAAAAATCTATGTCATATTTATACTTTAAACCAAAATAAGATTTAATGATTGTTCTTTATTTTACTAGAATGATGCACATACTGTATTTGTGCGTCAAGAGAAATGCTTGTACTTTCGTTACGTCAGCGTATTTCACACCCATACGACGTATTTCATACTTTACAATCGAAACATAATACCTGCCGACGTGGAACTGACTCTATTTGCAAATTCATTTACATCGGAAACTATGAAATCTGACACATTCATTCTGACACCTGAAAGAGAACGTATTCCGCCGATGAGTCACAAGAGGTTCGCAATTTCATTCAGTCCAACGCTTATAGAGGTAACGTTATTTTGTTTCCAAATCAAAATCTAACAGAGTCCATTCCTTTCAATTATTTAATATTACAAGAAATGAGTTTTTGGAGAGATTCATTGAACAATAAATGTAGAGTAACACAATTCAGTATTACAAATTCTAATAATTATAAAGAATATTTTTATAATAATTTGCATTTATATTAGTCAAACAAAATTAAATAAAATCAGAAAATGTGTTTTTTAACTTAATTATTTTGTGTTCCACGTTATAATTACAATTATAGGCATATTATGCAGCCTTCGAGATAGAAGTCGAACTTCCTCCACATTTAAAAGATGAGAAATTTTCTGTTAAATTAGTTGGGCAAACATGTGTGCCAGAAGTGACAATTGTCGAGCCACCAAGTGGAAAACGAGAACGAATTATTTTAAATTTTGGTCGTACACTAATAGATGATTCTAATGAAAGAAAATTTGTATTTCAAAACGTCGGCGTGATACCAGCAAAAGTGATTGTCGAAATTTATGAGGATCCAAATTTCTTTTTCTCTCTCAATACTTGCGAGAGTATACAAAACATGTCAAGTTGGAATTATAAAATTGATTGTTAGTTTAATTTTTCTTTATAAATTGAAAGTAATTTAAAAAATAACGAATCTCTTTTATATAAAAATATTTTTATAAGTATTAAGGACGGATATATTTCGATATATTATAGAATTCAATAAAATTTATTAAGATGATATAAATAATTTTCACGCGTAAATAAATTTACTAAATCATTAAATTATAGTGTCAAACAATCAATGTGCCGTAGTTCATTTAATGCCCAAGGAAACAATTTCGCTCAAAGTAAAATTTACTCCACGAGAGATCGGCAAATTCGAAAGTCAAGTGCGACTTTTTATTGTTGATAATCCATACGAAAATCTAATAATTGATTTAAAGAGCGAAGCATATGCAGAATTAATTGTTTGGACGGATTAGAACTCACGAATATAAAGAACAATTTTGTCAATGAAAAAGCAAGAATCTAATGCCAGATCACGAAAATCATCAAATAGTATTGTAGGAGGTAATTGATATTAAAAATATTTTTCCTTTTTTTACTTATCTTTTATATTTTGTAGCAATTTTATGAAAAATATTTATTTATTATTATTTTATTATTATTTATTATTTTATTTAAATTATTTTCAAGTTTCAAGAACTTTGAAATTATTACTGTTTTTTAAAAATTACTATATAATTATTAAATACTATCTAGTATTATATAATAATATAATTTATAATCATTTTTATCGATCCGTTTTAAATTTTTTCCTGATAATTTTTATATTTTTTTCATTATTCATGCTTTATATTTCTAATATATATCTTACAGTTTTAACACCGACAACACTCTCGGTTTCATTGGCTTATAAGCTGGATTACGGATGTTGCTTTGTTAATAAAATATACAGAAAGAGTTTCAAAATTATTAATAAATCAATAAATCGATATTTACGCTTCCAATGGAGTGCACATTCTAATGTCGTATTTACTCCATCCATCGGTCATCTCAAGCCTTTGACTTGCAAGGAAATCGTTGCAACATTCCTTTCTTCAGAGCCAGCAATTTTCACCAACGTAATAAAATGATCAAGTTTACATTTTGCAAATTACCAGTCAATATGCAGTTTCGCAACTTTGTCATTTTTATTTTTTAAAGTTTTTTAAAGATTTTTTTCAAAATTAAGTAAAAATATGTATATTAACATAAAAATCTCAATTAAAATTATATTATCAAAATACATAAACTTCATTCATCAATTATATTATCAAAATACATATACTTCAAAATACATAAACTATTATCTGCTATTATTTAATTAAAGTTATATTTTCATATAAAAAATAAATGGATTTTTATGAAAAAAATTTAAAATTAGAATAAAATTTTTATTAAAAAATCAGACTTATAATTCTCATTGAGGTGATAGTTACAATTCTTTATTTGATATTGTTGCATATTAAATATATAAACTAATTATTTTTAACAATGATTTATAGATGAATCTTGATTGTATGATTTGTGGGATCGAATTTACCGATCCTTCGAAAGAATCGTCCTGGGATGATCGAGAAACAGAAGTGCGATGGGTGACAATAAATTCTAATACCGAAGAGCAAGAAACAAATGTAGAAACTTTGGCTAAAAAAGCAGTTGAACCCATTAATGAACCTGAGCATGAAATCATACCTGGCACAACAAAGTGCATTCAAGTGTTACTTAATGCAACTGTCGATTTCTCCAAATATTCTTGCCCCATTAAGGAAATTAATTTAAAAAATACGCTAATGTTTCAGGTTATGTATTAATATTCAGGTTATAATTATATTCAAGTTATAATTATAATTATTTTATATTTTAAATTAAATTTATAACAAATTATATTATTTCTTCAGTAATCAACTATATTATATTAAAAATAATTTATATTTAAATAGATCTCAAGATATATGACAAAAAATATTTTTATTTGTTATATATATAAATTCCCAAATATTTTTTCGAAATTTCCAAAAATTTTTACAAAGTTTTCATACCTTTATATTCCAAATTTTCCAAATTTTTAATTCTTTCATTTATAATTTGCAGTAATCTATCTATTATATTTCATCTATTATATTTCATGATATAATTTAATTATCAGATTTTCTACGATAGAAATATCCATCTGTTTATTTCACTGAATTGAAGCGCAATATAGAAATTATAAATAATTTTGCAATCGTTCGCTTGCTTTGAGTTTAAATATTTGTTTATAACGCTGGGATTTTCTGAATTGGTGCATCCGCGAACAGATGACACAAACGTCATGAAATTCTAGCGATAAAATAGACCGTATTCGCTGTTATTTTCATATCCGATTCAATTTCGTTTGTTATTTGCGCGCATGAAAAAGAAAAAAAGTATCGAATTTTCGCAGCAGTGAATTATTCCGACCTTTATTTACTAACTAAAATTGATATAATATATGAATATTTTCTAATATAATATAATGTAATATATATAATATTATATAATGTAACATATATAATATTTTTTGAATATTTCTTGAATGATAAATGAGAAAGTTTTTCACGGTTTTCAAGATTTTTCTTTTAAATTATATATTAATTGTCGCAAACATTCGTTATAAAATATATCTTAAGATACAATATTACTTTAAATTTTAAAAATTATGCGAAACACAAAAAGACGCCAAAAAGCAATAATAATAATGCAATAATACCAAAAAAAATTATTATGAATATGTGAAAAATATTTTCATGCAATTATAGAAAATAATAGATTCGATAGGCTAATAATTGATATTTTTATTTTTTTCATTTATTTTAATATAATATATAATACTTCTTGTTTAATCTCATTGGTGTCATTTATAATAATTTAATTTTATTTTGTTTACATTTTTCTCATTTCTTAAAATATTTCTTAAATCTCATATTTAAGATAATTAAAAATATCAATAATAGCTCTTGAATCTCTGAAATAAATTCACTCACCAATCATGGCTATCTGCTTACAATTGCGTCTGAATCTCTGAAATAAATTCACTCACCAATCACGACTATCTGCTTACAACTGCGTCTGCAAAATTATATAATTTTATTCCAATATTATTCATTGTTCTATGCACTCTTTTCAATTGTTTAAACATTTTCTATTTAATTTAAAAATTTAATATTCAATAAAATGCATTATTTTTTAAATTTTAGTAAATGCATAAAAATAAATTAAATATCTAGGTAAACATTATTATTTCATTTTTATAAAACAATTATTCATAAAATAATCTAATTTATTTATCAAATTTATTATTAAATTTAATTTACTACTATTAAACGCATCAAACTATAAATTCATTAACTCACTTGTCATGATGATTATTCTGTCTCTCCATCCAGAATTATCACGGTGCTGTTTCAAACTCATGCTGGAATCTCCTCACTCGCGCGTGTTCAGATAACAAAAATAACTAATTATGTTCAATTAACGACACTTTACTTGGCACTCTCGATAACACTCTTTTGTTGTATACCGCACTTTCGCGAATGCGACTTGTGTACTTCGTATTGATGCCGTGACATCTAGCGATATTCTAGCGGAATTTAAAGCATTTAGCCAAATTTAAATTAAGCGAAGTACGAACAAATGCGATCGAGTTTCGATATCTTTTCTACGCATGTTGGATATCACGAAAAGATGTATAATCACACGATAATTTAATCCCCCGACTTCTAGCATTCCCGCGTTTTTCCAGCATTAAATTCAAACATGGCCGCCTTTTATCTCGCTAAAAGAGTTATGAATTGCTGTCGCGTACAATGATCGCAGTTTTGTCGTAAATATTAAAATGCTGTATTGATTTCCAGCACGTAACCGATATATAAACTGTAGCGTATTGTTTTATTTAATTAACAACTAATCATCCGCAAAAATAATTCTTGAAAACGATTCTGTTCGATTCAGCGCGAACGAAAGATAATTTCCGCGACGTAGTGTACTATAATTCACGATATGTTTATTGAAATCATGAACGGAATGTTGGAGAAAAGTATTCTTACCCGGTCGTATCAACAAGAAGACTGAATAAACACGCGTTGCTTTATTTACTTACTCGAAGCTCGAGACTCGACCGACGCTCGACCGACGCGTTCGAAGTGCGCAATGCATATCCACGGCGCAGCGCGCCGCGGCACGGCGCGGCAGCGCGGCGCATGCGCGGTTATCTTGTCTCCGTATTCCGAACGGCGAATCTTCCGACCGCGGATTTAATATCAAACGGGGACATAACTATTGATTTTAACACTCTAAATTTATTCGATAATTGTTAGCTGTTAGTTTATATAACGTTTCAAACCTTTATTTATATGCGAAATTCACTTTTCACGGACAAAGATGCGAAAATTACAGAGCGACTTACCACACACTTTTGATACGAAGCTCGACACGTTCGTTTATGTTCGGTTTTGCTCGGTCTGCTTCGATCATCCGCGGAATTATTCCAATTATCGCGATATAAGCGCGTAAAAATTCTCAAATATAATGCAATAAATTGTACATATATGTAATATATATTTATATAAACTTACACCATTTGTCTGAGCATATTCTCTTTTTTTATTAAATTTAAAATAAAAGAACAAACAAGCTTTCAAAAATATTATATCAATAAGATATTTTTAAAAGCTTATTAATATAATTTATTTTCAATTTTATTTGCGATATTTCATTTTTATCAAGTAGTATATCAATCCTATAAAATTATTCAAGAATATGTAAACTTTGTTATTTAAAAAAATATCCAATGTGTCCAATTTTATTTTAAAATGTTGGATTATTATTTACAAGACATTATTGCGTTCCTTTTAAAAATGCATATAGAATATATCGCGTTACTGTAAAAAACGCGTTTATAAATTAAATTTTTATAATTCCTAACTAAATCAAGACTGAATCGTAATTTTTCTACTGACAGACAAGCGAGCACACATTTATTTTTTTGAATACCGGCCTCGTCGAGATTGACTACACATGGCAAATAAATATGGATGAGCAATATCCGGTGAAATCGGCCGCGAATTATTCGCGATCCACGCCAAGATCACGAAAAAATGATATTCGATCTAAAACTATCTCATTAATGTACACGACTCACGAACAACGACACAATCTAAGTTGCCTGACGATGGAGATTGATAAGAACGTTAAATCGAATCGTCGACAACTCCTATCATCTCGAGGTAATTCAATTCCAATGCTGATTTATTTTAAAAAAGGAGAATGTAGAAAACATATTCACAATGCAAATATAAAAAAATATTCACAGAGAACCTCATTGAAGTAAAACCAATTCGCCACTGCGGTCCATCTGATCTCTTCAGCAGCAGCGCTGCATTGACAGAACGAAGTAGTGACAGTTGGTTGGAAAGCGACGATCTGCCATTTGGAATCTATCCCGAGAAGGGAATTTTACCACCGGGTGAATCCATGGAATGTGTCTTACGATTTTCTCCTATGGATGTATTCGACTACAAAGCGTATCTCGTGTGCAAGTACGATTGCAATCACGACTCATTCAATCAATTTAATTTAATTCAAATATCTTATTTTATTTACATGCTCAGATTTTTCTTATTATAAATAAAATTTATAACACACAATTATTTAATAAATACATATGGAACAGCGTGCAACTGATGTCAGGTATTTCTGTCTCTATCAAATAGAAATGTTAATAAAAAAAAGGTGATATTAAAAATCGGAATAAAATAAGCTGCTAGATTTATTGTGTTCATAAATTTATAATACAACAGAATGGAGAATCTCGACCCGGATCTGTCAGAATTGGTTATTCCTATCGTGGGAAGAAGTTTGTTACCATATTGCCACTTTGACATACCAGAAAGCGACTATTTGTCCGGTGATAAACGCGACGCAAAACTGCCAGGACCCATCGATTATCAACCGAATGGTAATTCTCTTCCAGAAGGCACAAGAGTGATCGAACTCGATGTGATCGGAATTGGCGGATCTCACACGAAGTAAATATTAAAAGATATGATAATAACAATTGTGTGATGCACGAACATAAATACGTTAATTTCAGAAATTTCCGGATGATAAATCCAACATCGGATGATTATTATTTCGTCTGGAAAGATCAAACTCGTCACGTCGAAGGCGAGATCTCGAAATTTCATTGTGCACTTCTGGAAGGAATCGCTGAGCGAGGAAAACAAGTCGATTTCGCATTTACCTTCTTCGCGGAAGATATCGGTACCTTCGAATCCTTCTGGTTGTTCCGTGTTGAAAAATACAATCTGGAATGTCTCTTTCTGTTCGTTGCGACTGTCAGAGAACCATCAGTATGCTGTTCACTCGCGCATCTGAAAATGAGACCAACCATACTGGGTTAGATAAAAACACTTGTAAAAAAAATATAGATTATAAAAATTTTGCATCATTTTTATACACTAATCTGTTTTCTATAGGCATCAATGTGCGAGAATCAGTAAGCGTAATTAACAACGAAGAATTTCAAATTCCCTTCCAGATCGTGCGGAATTCTTTATATTCTGAAGGACGTCTTCAGTATTTAAAAATGACGCCTATGAATGGCATTTTACAAGCAAAAGGCGAACAGATATTTTGGTAAACAAAAGAAAAATAACAGTTCTGTATAAGTTTTTCAGACAGTTTTTCTTAGTTTGATATTTCTTATTACTTAGGATCGAGTATCATCCTACACTTGTTGGCGAATTTCAATTTTCTGTAAAATGTAATGTAAAAAGAATGAAAGTACCGCTGATTATAAAGATCACAGCAATAACGTATGATATTATCGTTTCGGTTACATACGTCGATCAGAATGGCCAGACAATGCGACTAGATCAAGATAAAGAAAATATCATTCACTACGGAAAAGTAATCGCATATATAAGTTGTTTTAAGAAAAATTAAAAGATATAAAAGATATTGTAGTATACATTAAGGATTTTTAATTTTTAGTTAATGCTAAGAACACCTGCCACTATCACATTTGAAATAACAAACTCGAGCGAAATGGCGCTTTATTATTCTTGGGATCTCGGCATGACACCAGAAATAATTAGCAGAAATATGTACACGATTGAGACATCTCAAAAGCAAGATCGTGTGCTTAGCGAATCGCGATCTAATTGTTCTCTCATTGTTACAGCATTACAAAAGACAGTGATAAAAAATCATCTTATCCTCTTAAAGGTACTAATCTTGTTTAGATGTCTGTAAAAGACATAAATAGAGGCTTTGCAAACTTCTCTTTTTTTTATTTAGATTTCCAGAGGACCGATATATCGAATAATCTTAAAAGCAACGGCAAATAAACCAGTTTTGCAGTTCAGTTTTAATCATTATGATTTTGGGCCCTGCTACATTCGAGATACTACTGCAGCTCCGTATCACGTTGATTTACGCATTACGAATTTAGATGATGTTCCATATATGTAAGTCAATTTATTCATTTACTGAATATGAAAAGATTAATAAACAAAATGATCAATTTTCTCAGATTGGAGTGCAAATTTGAGGAGAAACCACATATTTCCGTAAACTTAAACGCTCTTTCAGAGACATTAATCGCTGGGTCAAGTATTATTATTCCGATAACATTTCGACCTCTGGAACAAATATACTATCGCGATAATCTGCATTTTATAATCAATTCGACAATCGAAAAAAAAATTACTATAACTGGCGAAGGAATTATATATAAGGTATATGATAAATACGTGTGCAGCTTATGATATTTGTTAATTGTAATTTTAAATATTTATTACAATCAATGCAATTTACTTTAAATAAATTTTCTTTTTGCATAATTATAATTAATCTAATCACAGATTCGTTTGGTAAATCCGCGCGATAAATTAGTGGATCTTGGTAACTTACCAATTAACAAAATGATAAGCAGAAAAGTGCCAGTGATCAACGACGGACGTGCTCCGCTTGAGATAAAATTCGATTTCATAAAAAATCTATCTGGATATGATCGATTTTGCAAACAAATTCAGATTTATCCGGAGAAGATCGATCAGGAAAATTCCAAAATAGATTACACTCTGGCATCAATTTCTGAAACGAAACGTTCGCATACATTTGATTTAGCTCTTCAGACAGAAGCCAATCTGTCTGAAGTTCTGGAGATTGAGCCGGCAGAATCAATTATACTTCAACCGGCGAAGATCTCGAATATTGTCATAAAATACAAATCTACACGCAGAATGCGTCCTTTCGTCGCTAAAATGGCTTTTCAAATTAATTCCACAATTCAACCATTATTTATTTTACGCGGAAGCTGTATAGGACCGGAATTTCGCCTGAACAGAACCCACGTTCCTTTTGGTGTAGTAGTTCAAGATTGCCTCAGCAAAACAAAAATAATTTTATTGAACACGGGAGACGTTGGTGCTAGGTTATCATTAATTATATAACATATAATTAAATAATGCAAGATTTTATATAATTTAAGAAATTAATAACTTTATATCATTTAAGAAATTAAAAGAAATATGTTAAAAAAATATATATTTAAACATCAATTTTTTCGATTTAATTTTAAAAAAAATTTATATTTTTTTCAGCAAATGATTTAAACAAATTTTACTTTTTATACGGTTTTATTCATTCATGTATTTTACGAAAAGATATTTATTTTATATAATTTTCATTAGTTTAATGAGAGATAAAGATTAATTTTTTTACATTTATTAATGTCGTATGCTGATGTATGATTTATCAATTCCTAGATTCAAGTGGAACACATCGAAATTGCCTCGAGATTTTAGCATTACTCCTGCGACCGGTTATTGCTCTCCCGGCATGAACGTCAACTTCGATGTCAGTTTCCAACCTACTCGGCATGACAATTTGATTGAGGGCGATGTGAGCATACATAACTTCCTTGTACTTGTACACACAAATACTCGATCTTCGAAGGATCGAGACTCTCTCGTATCTTTTGTGCAATATATACCAAAAACAAAAGTGGCTTATTACACAATAGTATATCTTTCATATATCTCTGTCGTATTTCTTCAGCACATTTAACTTTTCAAAATAACTTTTCCACTTTGTAGTTGAGAAAGAAATATCTCTTGTATCTATGTTTGATATATTCGAAACTTCGTTTATACTTTAAATATTATTTTAAAAGTTATTTTATAATAATAGTTTTTTAATAAACTAAACGTAAAATGCTAATTATTATTTAAAAAATTTTTAATTTTTATATTAAATCTAATATTAATTTTAATAACGTATAAAAGGTTATTAAAACTTTTAAAATCATGTAAAAAGTTAGATTCTTTGCAATGAGATACAGTGTTCGAAAAAAAAAGAATATTTTATTTTGCTTTTAGGCAACGCTTGAGATTGAAAAATATGCAGACCTCAGTGTAAGAATTACTGGAACTAGTTGTAAGCTACCTGACCCAGTTGATACTCTATTCTTTTCGTGTCGCGTCCGCGAAAAAACAATGACATCTCTAAACATCGAAAATGACACCGCGTCTCTTTGGAAATTGAAACCGAAGATCACCGGAGATTATTTTTTTGCCGACGAAGTCTTACACGTTCCTTCGAAAAGATCTATTGCCTGCATGATCGGCTATGCCCCTTTAGTCATGAACAACGAAAGCAACCCTCACAAAGTAAAGAAAGAGACAAAAAATAATTATATAATTCTGATAATTGCACAATAATATATAATAGCTTTGTAATTCTACGAAAGAGTAACAAGTCGACAATCATGATATTTCTGTAAACTATCTCAGGGTACGTTGCTTCTAAAGTTGCCAAATGATAAAGCACCTTTGGTGTATTGTCTTCATGGGCTGAGTTTAGCTCCACAAGTTCTCCAAAGGATTACACGTCAGTTTCCCGCAAAGACAAAATATACTGAATTGTTACCTGTATACAATTGGTTGAATAGGCAGCAACGATTCGAATGCAAAATTGAGAATATAAACGATAAAGAGGTTTAATAATTTTCCGAAAAATTTAAAACGTTATAAAATCATATTATTATAAAATTAATATTTCTTTAATTTATTTTTTTTTCAGAATATCGAAGTATTCACTTTTATTGGTAATAGTAAAATAGACGTGCCGGCGAATAGCCAGCGAGATTATCGTGCAGAATTTCACTCTTACAAAACATCAAAATACAACTTTAAAGTAAATCATTATCAAAAAACATAAAAATTATTTTCGCAATTTTTAACGAAACATAGATGAAATGCAATCTTATAATTATTTTTAATTTATTTTGTTTTTCCGTTGTGTCGAATTATATTTTGCAAAATTATGCGTGTACACAGGTAACATTCACCAACGAAGAGGGCGAATATCAATTTTACGAATTACAATACGATATTACAAGACCCCAAAAAATCGAATCGATCAAATTGATCACTACGGTACGATCTCCAATATGCCATGTTTTAAAACTCGATAATCCACTTAAGGAGTACATAACATACACAGCAGAATGTCATCATCCCTGCATCACAATTCACGATGTTCCAAAACTCGTGGCGCCTTTATGCAGCGTTAGTAGCCGAGTTTCCTAATGTGTTGCAAATTTTACATATGAGTAATACATTTTAATAAATAAAAAGATTATATTTGCAATTTATAAATGGAATAAATATAGTAGCAATCAACAAAACGATATCAATAATGTCGCTGTTAATACAACAGGAAACCGTCGTTATCGAGTATCGCCCTTTATACCCTGCTGAAGAATCCGCGATAGACTTGAATGTTAACTGTGAAGAACTCGGATTATTTCCCTACGAATTGCGATTACGAGCAACGCCGGCATCTGCAGAAAAGACGACACATGTTGTCGCGAGGCTCGGTGATTCCACCACGTTCTCCCTGACCATAAGCAATCACGCCCGGCAGACTGTGGTGTTCGCTATTAAGGTAAGCATAAAACATTTCATTTTTTATGAATGGTCATGATACAGTCAACAGAAGATTCTCATTCTAGGTGAATAACGAATGTTTTACGACTCCGAAAGATGTTGAGGTGCCGATGTTGAAGAGCGCATCATTCGATGTAACTTATGAGCCCTATGACATCGACAATGTTTTTGCTACTTTGACAGCCACATCCCAGATTGCCGGCGAATTTGAGTAATTAATATTCAAGATAATTAAGATATTAATTCGTAATTAATAATTTTTAAGCTTGTCTTTACATTTTAATTCTGTATTTAATAACAAGATAGTCTTAAGCTGACGCCAAATTAAAATGTCATAAACTAAATATACGAGATGTAATCGTCTTAAAGAAATTATTTATATACAGATTTCCTCTCGTTGGCACGTACTCGTTACCGAAACCTCGAGGACCATATAAAATCACTGCCGATGCACCAGCTTCTATACCATTCAAGAATATATTTAGAGAAGACAAATCTTTCGAGCTTATCTTAGATAATCCTGAAGCTTTCACAACAGCAACGTCATTGGACAAAATTAAACAGAAACAGGTAATATTTCACAGATTTTTATGTCTACTATTATTTCTTTCAATGATAACTTCTGAAATATTTGTCCATCTTATTTATGTTTAAATGTTTAATGATAAAGAACTTATTATTTGTAAAAAGAAAAATTATTTGTCAATTTAATATAATAATACCAGGTTATAATATGAATTATATTATAAATTAATATTGCAAGGTGGTTGCTATCATTGTTTGTCTAAAAGACATATCAAACGGAAAACCGGAAGATAACAGTTATCCAATAACCGGAAAGCTTTCTGTATATTGCACGGATCCCAAGGTTTCCCACATCAGTTGGATTTATTATTTAAGAGGTGTACGCGAATAATGCACAATGAAATTCAAACAACAACAACGTCAATAAAATAACAATAAACAAGATATACTTTATCGCATTGAGTAGTACATAATTAAATAATAAATAATTATTATATCATTAAAAAAAATAATTTGTACGCGTTCTTCGCTGATTACCTTTTATAAATTCGAGAATATATTTCACGCGCGTTATTTTAACTCGCGAATGGCTGCGCACGCATCTCGCAAAAATCAGCAAACTTCTCGACGGATCGAGCGCCATAGTGGTTCCCAATTTCTCTGTAATGGTGGTTCGTAGTTTCGTAAACACGGAAGGATCTAAAATTGTTTTTATCGGACAGTCGATCACGTCGATATGTGAATTTCACAAAAGTGATTGTCGGATTCTCCGATTGTCGCGATCACCCGCTAGTGAAAACCTAACCTAACCTAACAAACTCTTCCTCGACGACGAGTATATGTTCTGTGTCTTATAGTCCGCACTGTCGTTGTCACCGTGTATAATCTACGTTGTAATCTGCTCTTGTATTAACTGCAACAATCGTGCTGTGTCGCATCTTGCGAGAGACGGTTTCTTTCTCGAGGAAATCGTTTCGGGATTTCTCTCGATCCGAGGCGGATCTCGCGGGGCGGAACTTCTGTTCGACAGTGCGTTGTAGGAGCGGCCAACGTCAGTCAATCTGATAAGGTCAGGCATGCACCTGGTGCATGCGACGCAGTCATCCACAGACGATCTTCGGATGTGCATCCTGTCGTCCTGCGGCGTGCCACCATGAGCGAAGAATCCAGGAAAATAGTGACAAGATTCCACCCTATCCACGGTGAGAATATCCTTCTGTGCGAAGATAGCACGGTAGCAGTGCGTACCACAAGCTTTGCCAATTCGGTGGCCTTCAGCGAAAAGCCATTGCAACCAGGGGAGATCTTCCTTGTGGAGATCGAAAAGACAGAGAGAGGATGGAGTGGACACATGCGTCTAGGTCTCACTCTGATCGATCCGGCTTCCGTCACCAATAATCTGCCTCAGTATGCAATGCCTAATCTGGTTAGATTAGGCAATACATGGATCCTCGCTATAACTAGGAATCAAACTATCTGGGACAACTTTGATGGTGGTCTATCGTCTACATACACTTCTCTCACTGGTTAATATCTATTATATAAAATTGCTATGATAATCTTAGAAAAATTTTACTTATATACATAAAATTATAAAACTTGTAAAGAAAGCTTATTATAGAAATAATATGCATGTAATAGAAGTGATGACAATAATACTTAGCGTATGTAGTAGATATTCAGAATTTGTAGCATATATATTTTGCTGAATGTTATATATTTATCCATCATCAAAGGTATACCACCAGGAATTCCAGCCAGAGAGAAGAAATTGGTCACAGATGGAGTCAATGTGCAAACATCACGAGGTGTCATTCCATTCAATGCCCTGAAGCCAAATATAGATGGTTCATCCCAGTGCATTCTACCTACAGATGCCGGCAGTCGCATTGGTATTATGTATGTACCACAAGCCGGCTGTCCTGATAAGGCAGAAATGCATTTTATCATCAATGGTGAGGATCAAGGTGTTTGTGGAAAGGATATTCCCTATAAAGCAGGACCCTTGCGTGCAGTAGTGGATGTTTATGGTACCACAAAACAAGTTCGAATAGTTCAACTATATGGGGGTAAATATTTATACCTTAAAAATCCTGTTTCTTTTTTTCAATGCAGTTTCTAGATCGTTGCTATATTGTTTCAGCAGTATCGACGCTACAAAGTGCATGCCGCGACGCTATATTGCAATACACCAAGAGAAATGCAGTCAATCTGCTCCCTTTGCCAAGATTATTGAAGGACTATCTCTTATATCAGTCGCAGTGAGAACCAGCTCATTCCGTTTTCACATATAAAATATGTTTAGAAAACAGTACCCATTAATTTTTTATCTTTATCTCCAGTGATATCTTCAAGTGTTTGATACATATATGAGTAATATGTTTTATTATTGAAGACTGACAGTGCATATGTCGACTTGTCGCATTCATACGAATTATTCGTTTCTATACACATATCTTTCCGAATAATGTATACGATGGAAACGGTTGACTATGTCTACATAACGAAAATTTTTTCACTCGTACATTTAGTTTTAAAAATTTTTCTGGGATGAAATGCTAAATCATGTGTATATAGTGTAACGAAATGTTGATTGCTGCAAAGTCGAAGAATTCAGTGAGATCATATTGAAAGTTCAAATGTAATTATCAGAAATGACCATTTATGGGGCATAATGACGCCATATATAAAACTTAAGTATATTTTTGGGCAGTTATTTTTGTTCTATCTTTTTTCTTAGTTCTCTATTTATTATGAGATACATAGGATTAAGTTGCAACTTACGCTGTTGTTGAACAAATAAAAACGAACGATATTAATATAAGTGTCCAAAAGAAAAGCTGTTTTACAAAATAAAGGTATTTATAAAAGAAAACGTAAGATTATTAAGATTATTCTATCGATATTACAGTCCCATCTATCCATATATCCATTGTACTTATATACATTTCTCTTATGTTTAATTTATATTTCTGTACGTATATTTCTGTTTACGTACATAATCATAACATTGTGATATATATCCTCAATAAGCAATGCTTTAAAGCGAATCTAATTTGTATATTAGTTAGGAATTAGGAATAGTGTGTTACGGTATAGTACGTAGGGAAACACGTACATAACAGCATGATGTAAGCGAGAAGCGTGCTTAGAAAGGCTAACCATCCTATGAGTACTACGACGTATCTCCATGGCGATTTCTTGCTATTTGATTGTACAAGATCGGTATTGTCATCCGCGTCAACTTCTATCTTAGCTGTTGCAGTCGGATCTAGGATGCTAACTAAAAGAATCCGTCCAATTCGACTGTGTAAAATGGATGTCGTGCCAGTTGAGATCCACATAGGCGGTTCGGTAGTCAATTCTTGCAATTGTCGCAAGATACTGGTGAGAATGAGAGCGAATGCTGCTATCCCGAGAGAGCTCTCAATAAAAAAAAACTAAAATAAAGAATATGTGATTTTTTTATTTCTTCTCTTCTTCCTGTAATAATTGTTAAATTAAGATTGTTAGATTAAGTAAAATTAAATATATAAAATAATCAGGTAAATATTTTATATAGAAATTAATATATAAATATTAATTATCAATATATATTAAATATAGAAAATGAAAAAATTAAGAATCATATAAAAATAGATAAGAAATAGAAAATTATATACAAGTAGATTTTTTTTATTATCTACACTTACGCATTTTGGGAGTGTTAAAGCCGCTCTTTGGTATTTCCCAATGCATGTCTTGTATAGCTAATAAATGACAAATGAAATTGATATTAGCCAATATCATTCGCTCAAAAGATTTCGATTCTAGCCATAATGTCGTCAGAGTTATCACCATTAGCACTGTAAGCATTACATAAAATATAACGTATCAGAATTAATAGAAGAATTATGTAAATTGAAATTAATTTACTTGTTTGTTAAAAATTAATGTATTAGCTACAAACGTGTATGTTTAGTTTAAATTATCAGAAAATTGGTCGCAAGTTTTTATTACATATAATAAGAAAAGGATATTTCTATTTCAATAAAATAATAAAAAGTAATAAGATATACGAACCTATAGGAGGTGTTAAATATACAATGCGTATGATACCCCAATGTCTTCTTAAAATAAAATGATAGGAAAGCATTTTGGTGGTCGAACCCGAATTAAACTTGTATCTATCTTCCCATCTTGTTACATAAAGATTTAGCAAATCCCACTCGACATTTTTTGATTCTACAGTTTGCTGCAATGACTGAATTTATTGACTGAATTAGCATTGATAAAAAAGAAACTTCTGAAAATATTAATAAAAGATTTACTTATTTTACATATTGTGTAAGTATTACTTATCTTAACACAAAAATAATTATATTAATGGAAAATGAAAAAGAATCACACCACATTCTGATAAAGATTAAGCTCGATCTCGTCGCCAGAATGCGACCACGATCCGAATTGTATTGTACAATTCATGATATTGTATGGCCACCACGTGTTATCCGAAACACAATACGAAACATACTTTGCTGCCATTAACCATTTGACAGTTCCTTGCTTGGAAACCCAACACTTATGCTGATAGCTGAACAAGCTTTCCCCAATTTTTCTAAACATATAAATAATTTTATATAAATAAATTCTAATTAAATCTAACACCAAAGCAAAGTTTTTAAATATATAACTTAAGAAACTTCGAAATATTTTCTATGTTTCTGTTTCAGATCTTGTTAATTTTTAGATATAATCTTACTTACAATACTTTTTGAAATTGCAATGTTTGATTCTAATGTTTAATTTTAAATGGGATAATTAAAAAATATATATTAATAGAAATTTTTCAATTAATATCACTAAAAAATTTAATAAGGCAATTTAAAATATAATTTTGTGTTAAAATTAAAAGTTACAATTAAAAACTGTTATTAAACTGAAATTAATATATTTATAAGAAAATAGATGATAGATAATATATAATTATTGATAAATTTAGATTATAATGAATTTTAACTAAAATGTAATGAGAATATGTATTTCTTACTCGTTATGCATCAAAATATCAGGAATCCAAATTTGATAGCCTTCTACAGGTAACCATTTAATATTATCGTATTGTTCAGGATCCCATGTCAAATGTGAATCATTCCATGACTATCAAAATATTAATAAAAATTTGAATATTAAATTAAAATATAAAATAAATTTGAATATAAAATTAATTTGAATATTAGAAACTTGTGTAAAATATATTATGCTCATAAAAATAATTAATTAAAATTAAAATGGCTAAATAATTAATAAATCTCTTCCATTTACTAATTATTCAAACTCATGGATTTATTATTTCTAAGCGATTGTGTAAACTTACCATTGCTACCCACGTATGCAATTCGAAGGATTCTGATTCTTGAGTCTAAAAAATAAAATTAAATAAAAAATAAATTTGAATTTAATTTTTTCGATTTTATAAATCAGCATCTTTTTGATGTATTTAAAGTGTAAAATTGTAAAAAATATTTTATGTTTTAAAATATTTTGCACAGACAGGTATCGTCTTCCTTTCGTAGATAAAAAATAAATCCAGATTCAATCTGGATCAGCAATCTTGGAATCAGATTCCAAAATCTAATATAAAAAGATATATAATAACTCAAGAAACGCGATTGAGAGAGAATTTAAACAAAAATATAGAAAAATAATAGAATAAAATAAATAAAAACATTTAGAAAAATCCATCGAATAAAAATTCATGATTATTCAAGAGAAATAAAAATCTTAATTTTATAAATTTTATACGAATAAAGTGAATATAATTTTTCTCTAAATTTCTAAATTATAATACTTTCATATTAGTAATAATTCAAAGTCGATTATTGATAAAGAAACAAAAAGAAAAATAATTGCTGATAAATAGAAGAATTCTTTTAAATTTTTTAAACAAAGATTTTTCAACAAAGATTTTGTCGCTACTTACATATTCAAAGAAGTATGGCTTTAGATGAAAATCCACACGCGTCTTATTGTTATTATTTTGAACCGGTCTTACATCGGAATCATATTCGCAAAGAAGATTTCTCTTCAATTTCACCATGGTCGATTTATTCTCGAGGCTACAAGTCTGTCTATTATCTGCTGTCACATCGATGCACATGATATTGAGAATAAACAGCAAAACAGGAAAGAATTTTCTGTTCATTTTGTACACTTACACGGATGAACGGATCTATAACGACTGAATTGCTTAGTAATGGATTATGTGAAAACAGAATTAACGATAATTATACGCCCAATGAAAGATAAAACTGCAGACCACGAAGACCGCCCCTTCAACAAATCCTTATCAATAATGGAAACAAATATGTAAACTGTAGATGATATTTGCAAACAAAAATATATAAAATTATCTAAACTTGATTATTTCAAACCACTATAATACTATTTAATATTTATACTAAACGAAAAAATTTTAAACAACATAATAAAAAATAAAAACATAACGGTTATAAAAAGTAATGGTTATCAAAAAAGGAAAAAGATAACTTAAAATTAATTTGTATTAATAACATTTTTTAATTGATTTCTTATGGCAATTTGAACAAATTTTACGTGCATTATATAAAATGCTTACGAGAATATCATTAATGAAACTTTATTACAGAAGCAATAAAAAAAATGTGTATGATTAAAATAACACATACAATTCACTTATTTTAATCTGCTATGAAAGAAAACAGAAAAAATTATTTGAATTATTTGAAATTATTTAAAAAAGAATGTTGAATATGATGGAGAAAATTTTGATTGTTTTACATCACGAGTTAGTTCATGACTCCTGAAGGTACAAGGGTGACTAAGATAATGACATAGGTGAGAATCACACAGAAGAATGATAACCATTCGACAATAGCAGCAAAATGTCTCCAGGATGATTCTTTCATTTCCATTCCAGATTTTGGAAGATTTGATCCATCTTCATTTACTATATCTCCATCTATTATCTTGGATTCCTCATTATTAAGAATTAGGAAACGACCAGCTTTGTTGTTCAAGACAAATGTTGTTGTAGAAGAAATCCAACTTGGCATTTCTATACTCATGTCTTGCAATTTGCGTAACAAGACTGTTAAAATTAACGCGAAAGTAGCCAATGACAGAGAGTCACGGTAAAACAACACTGCAGAATGAATATAAAAAATATAAATAAATCTATTATTTGTTTTTATCTATAATTTTAACTGTAATTGATTTTAACTAATATATTTTAATTTGTAATTTTAATACTCTTGTATTGACAAATTTAAATAATATTTAATATATATTGTAAAATGATTGATAAAAACATTGTTGATTTTATCTCAAAGTTATAAAATAGAAATGTCTCTTTCTCTCTCAGATTTAATTTTTTATCTCTAATTATCACATTTCTTTATATTTTCATACTTACATATATGAGGAACTTTAATGCCATTGTATGGCAAATTCCATTGCAAATCAAACATGCAAAGTAGATGGCAAATGAAATTTATGCTCGCGATTGCTACTCGTTCAACTGATCTTGAATCCAACCAGAGCACCGTTAAAGTAAGAAATACTAAAACTAAAAAAGACATTCATGATTTCATTTTGATTAAGTTTCACTATACAATTTTACTTTTACGAACAATTACTTACCGATAGCTGGCGTGACATAAGAACTATGGTTTATGCCATGGTGCCGAGTTAACAAAAATGTAAAATCTATTCTCGGAAAGGTATCATTCGGACAACATGTATATTTCTTGACTATTTTCTCTGCATTTACAAATTTCAAATCCCATTCTGTATTGTTTTCGTAGCTGTTCATACTAACCTATAAAATATATTTAGGTAAAATATATTTAGATATTATTATGTTTTTTAATATTAATTTAATATTTTAAAAAATATAAATATATTTAAATATAAAATTAAAAAATATAAAAAAAAGCTGACCAAATTGCATAACCAAATCTCTCAAAAATATCTTAAATTAAAATCGATATAGAAAAAGAAGTAGTTCAATATCGCAATTTTAGAATAAAATTTTTCATATTAGCAATTCTCTCACATCAGCTCTAGATATATTAAATTTTACAATGGATCGTTTTTGTTGAGAAAACAGTATTCGAAAAAAAGTATATATATATAT